TGCTCTCAACAGGCTGCAGGCGCTTGCTCACAACTGTCACTCAATCGGTGAGGCGAGTGCCCCAAGCGTGGACCTCCAGGCGCAACTCCTGCACCGAGGCTGTGACGGGAGCCAGCTCCTGCCGGACCAGCGCCGCTCTGCCGAACATCGTGACCTGTTCCTGCTGCGGGTCCCCTTCCTCCCGTGCCTCCCCCGAGTGCGGCCGCGCGTATAGCGATGGAATCATTCCCTCTTCATCCTCCTCCCCGCCATCCTCCATGCGCTATTAACCGCTGTCTGCCAGAAGAGGTGCACAAGGCGAACGGGTCCCGTGCGCGTGCCCTTACCCCTCATCTCCTCCCACGTGTTGCCCGTCAACAGGCCGCCGACTCGAGTGTCAGGCCCCCGGGTAGTCCTTGGCCCCTGTGGAGGGGTTTGGGACATCACAGCCTCCAACTCCAGCCCAGAAGGGCGTAGCGACGCGGCAATGACACCACAACCGACCGAACCGAACCGACCGAACCGAACCGACCGAACGCAACCGATGGCGACGCAGTCGAACCGCTCGCATCGCGATCATCCTGAGGGCCAACGATAGGGGGGGACTGGCACAGGGGGATATGCATCGACCTTGCATCGGTGATACATCGCCCATAGATCGGCGACGGGCCTCCGATAGTGAGTCCGCGCCTTCCTGAGCAGGCCTGGGGCTTTGGGGCCCATGTCGGCGATCAATGGGCCATTAAGGGTCGATGCACCCGCTCCTACGTCTATCCCCCCCGTATCGTTGCCCCCCCGACATCCCCGCTCGGTAGTGGACTGGCCTGCCACAGCGAAGACCCAGCTCAGCCACTTCCCAAAACATGCGCGGCGCCCTTGTTTCAAAAGGGGCTTCCCGAACCCCGCTCGGGTGAGGCCGCCCTGAAGGGGCTGTGACCGGCTCCCACATTTTTGATCCGCGGGTCGAGAGCGCACCTCTTCCGGTCGAAGCTAAGCGGGCCGCGCACAGCTTCAATTAGCAGAGGGGGGGGGGGCAGAAGGAGGGGCCTCGCGACCGGCTCCCACACCCTGCTCGGCCGAACTCCGGCCGGCGCACTGGCTGACCCCCCTTCGCGCGGAGCCCCGCCGCGTGAGCCCCGACCCGCCCCAGCGTGCAGCTCCCTGGGGGGCAGGCAGCTCTAGCAGCAAGTCCAGGGTTCGCTGGGGACCGGCTTCCACTCAAAACGAACCGAAACGCTCTCGAAACTATCGGAAAACCCTCCAGGAAGGGTTCCAGAAGGCTTTTCAGGGGGGGGGGTCGGGAGATATTTGGAAGGGTTGGCGTCGTTGTGGGGGCGGGGAAAGCAAGTCCCTAGCGAACCCTGTGCTCCCTACGGGTAGCTTCTGGTGTTGGACCCCTTCTCGAAAAGGCCCCAGGACCCGAACGCAGGCCCCGCGTGCCGAAATCGATCAAACAAAAGCACGCCCTTCCCTGCTCGTGCCATCCCCGAGCCCCTGCCGCGCGCCGCCAGGCCTCGCAGCCGCGGGCGGCTCCTTCGGCGGAGGCGTCGACGGCGAGCAGGCCTCGTCGGCGAGCGCGGCCGTGGGCGAGCGCATGTACGAGCACGCCAGCTGCAGCGCGGCGGCCGCGTAGAGCGCAGCGTGCTCCTCGCGCGAGGGCTCGCCAAGCTGATTCGGTGCATGTCATGTCCTCGTCCACCTCCTCCTCCTCCTCCTCCTCCTCCTCCTCCTCCTCCTCCTCCTCCTCCTCATCATCATCATCATCATCATCATCATCATATCATCATCATCATCATCATCATCATCATCATAATCATCGCAGCATCATCTTCTGCTGCTGCTGCGGCTGCTCTTCCACTCCTCTGCTCCTCCGTCCTCCTCCTCCTCCTCCCCCTCCTTCTCCTTCTTTCCTCCTGCTTCTCCCTCTCTCTCTCTCTCTCTCTTCTCTCGTGCTTCGTCCCTTCTTGCTTCCCCCTCCTCCCTCCTCCTCCTCCTCCTCTCCTCCTCCTCCTCCCTCCTCCTCCTTCCTCCTCCTTCCCTCCTCCTCCTCCTCCTCCTCTCTCCTCTCCTCTACTCCTCCTCCTCTCCTCCTCCTCCTCCTCATCCTCCTCCTCCTATCCCCTCCCCCCCACTACTTCTCCTCCTTCCTCCTCCTCCTCCTTCCTCCCTCCTCCCCATCCTACTTCTCCTTCCTCCTCCTCCTACTCTCCTCCTCCTCCTCACCTCATCCGCCCTCCTCCCTCCTCCCTCCTCCATCCTCCATCTTCCTTTCTCCTCCGCCTTTCTCCTCCTCCTCCTCCTCCTCATCCTCATCCTCCCCTCCTCCTTCCTCCTTCCTCCTCATCCTCCTCCTCCCCCCTGTCCTCTTGATTTTCTTGTTCTTTTTTTTTCTGACCCCCCGAGCCTCTCCTTCCTCCGTGCCGCGGGGGGCGCGCCGCGGACGGTGCTCCTCGCGCGAGGGCTCCAGCAGGTGCAGGCACTTCTGCAGCAGCTGCCGCTGGTCGGCGGTGCTCGGCGTGCCCTTCCCAAGGAGGGGGGGCATCACCACCAGCCAATAACACGGCAGCCAGAGCAGCAGCAGCGGCAAGCAGCGTACCGGAACGCTCCAGGTTTCGATACGCATCTCGTGCACTCATCACGATACCATTCCCCCTTTCATAGGGGGGGTTGTTCCATTCTTCGGAGGCCCGCTCTCCTCCTACCCAGATCTCCCGTCCGAGAATGTTTTGCCAACGTTTCTTACGAGGCAGTTGTACCATCTTCAATATAGATCGATGGGGGTCTCCTTTTGGCCCGTGTTGGCGGCCTCTTGGCCGTCCTGGGGCTAGCTTGGACCGTCCGACGTCCTCTTGGGGCGCCCTCGAAAGATGATTAGCGCCTTTTCGGGACCCTTGCGGCGCCTCTGAAAAAGCCTTTTCGGAACCCACATGGGGCCGCCCAGAAGCCCTCCAGAGGTGATGTCAAAACAAGGGTTCCACTCTTGAGTAAAAAATGCGGAAATATCGAGCGGGAGCGTCATTGTTGTAAGGGGACCAGTTTGCGCTGCCAAGGCGCGAACGCTATGCCTGAGCAAAAACCAAGGAAGTACCAAGCGGGAGTCCTGAAGTTGTTGGGAGGGCGGTTTCCGGCGACGAACAAGAGCGCCAGTTTTGAGCAAAAAGGACGGGATTGTCGAGCGGGAGCGCCGTTGTTGTAGGGGCGCCTGGGAACGCCACTCCTGGGTAATTCGAGGGAACCACGAGCCCAGGAAGGAAATCGAGTCAAATAATATGCTGCCAGACTTCTCTCGTCACGCCTCCAAGTGTGAGCATGTCTCAGGCGAGGGCCGAGCTGTTAAATGTACATCGAATTCGGGACCTCACAGAGCATCTTCCCTTTTTGTCTGAGGATGTCTGCAGCGAAACGCCCCGCCACACCATGTTCGATATCCAGCGCCCAGACTCAACATTTCAATTCCCTGAGGATGGCTCAAGCGAAAGCTTCACTTGTGAGAAACAGCGTCGTAAAACACCTCCTCCAACATCCCTGTTGTGTGAGAATGTGTCAGGCTAAACGCTCCCCCCACCCGCACACCATACATGATACGTATCCGACGCTCGATGTCCGACATCTCAATGGTGCGATGACTGGGCAGGGGAAAGTTTCACTTTGAAGAACCATCGTCGAACATCAACTCCTCCAGCATCCCCATGTTGTGAAGACGTCTCAGGCGAAACGCATCCTCCCCATACCATGTTGGATATCCGACGTATGATGTTCCACGTCCCAATGTTTTGAGTATGTATCATGCGTAGGCTTCATGGTGATCAACTCCTCCAATATCCCCTTATCGTGAGGATGTCTTACGCGAAACGCCCCCTCCCCCTCACCATGTTGGATACCCGACGTCTGATATCCAACATCTCATTGGTGTGGTGATCGTCGGAAAACAACTCATCCAACATCCCCATACTGTGAACACGTCTAAAGCAAAACACATCCCCCCACACCATGTTCGATATCCGACGACGGATGTCTCACATCCCAATGTTCGTAGGACGTCTCATGCGAGAGCTCCATGTTTGAAAACAGATGTCGCAAAATAACTACCCTAACATCCCCATAATGTGAGGATGTCTCAAGCAAAACGTCCCCTCCCCTACACACTGTTGGATACCCGACGTCTGAGATCCAACATCCCATTTCCTGGGGATGTTTCCTTCGTAAAACCAACGCCGTACAACAACTCCTCCAAAATCCCCAAGCTGTGCATATGTCTCAGGCGAAACGCTCCCCCCACACCATGTTGGCTATCCGACGCCAGGTCTCCAACATCCCCATACTGTAAGGATATAACAAAAGGATTGCCTCACTTGTGCGAACCAACGTCGTAAGACAACTCCTCCAAGACGCCCATATTGGGAGAAGGCTCTAGGCGAACCAGGGGGGATCAACATTGATTACTCTTTAGATATGAGACTCTGACAACACCACCACCACCACCACCAACAACAACAACAACAACAAAAAGGCATAGGCTGGCATAGCGCCCCCAGGTCTGGGGACGCCTGCCGCGCCCTCACCACTGGAATGAAGACCGGCACTGCACCCCGGTCCCCTGGTGGCGGGGGGGGGGGACAACGACAAAACAGCGCAACAACGATGGTGTCGGAGTGGTTGGAGAGGTGGAGGTGGTGGAGGGTGGGAGGGGTGGGACGGGCGGGAGGGGAGGGAGGGGTGGGAGGGTCGGGAGGGGTGGGAGGGGTGGGAGGGGTGGGAGGGGTGGGACGGGTGGGAAGGGCGGAGGGGTGGGAGTTGTCTTTGGTATGATGTTTGGTACGAAATATTATGGGATGTGGTGCGACATGATTGCGCCGCGAAGTGATGTTTGATACGAGATGGTGTCTGATTCCTCCTCACCCTCACTTTCCCCTTCCTCACCCCGCACGCTCCCCCTTCCGCGGGGCACGCAAATAATAGAATTGCTCCTGGAAGCCGCAAAGGCCTCACGGTCGGGCCCATATCAGGCCCCACGCGCCCCACAGCCCCACGGGCCCCGCAGCCAGCCCCGCAGGCCACACGCAGGCCCCGCAGACCCGCAGGCCCCACAGTCCCCACAAGCAAGGTTCCGTTGCTCCGTTGCTCCCCCCCCGCCCCCCCCCCCCCCCCCCCCCCCCCCTCCCCCCCCCCACCCCCCCCCCCCCCCCCCACCCCCCCCGCGTGCACCGGGGGCGCTCGCCCCGCCGCCGTCATCATCAACAGCAAACACAGCAGCAACAACAGCAGCGACAACAACAGCAACAACACCACCACTACCACCACCAACAACAACAGCAATCATTTCAAGACTGTGCGCTCTTATCTGCTCGAGTGTCCAATAACGCGTATTTCCCAAACCCTCGATACCCGCCCTCTTCGTCTTCGATCGAACCCCTTTTGGGGGGTATACCTTTCTTCCCTGCAGGCCGGACCCTGGCAAGCGGCGGGGCGGCCGCGGACCGTCGGCCTGGCCAGCGGCAGCGCTGATCGGCGGCAACCCGACCCCAAGAGGGACGGACAGGGGACCGACCACGACGACGACGACGAAGACGACGGAGACGACGACGACGTCGACGACAACGACGACGACGACGACGACGACGAGCGAAAGCGAAAGCGAGAGCGAGAGATCGACAGCAGGGCCACGAAGGGCACGAAGTAGGCCACGAAGGGCGACAGCGGGGACACGGAAGGGAATGCGTAGGGGGCCACGGAGAGCGCGAACGAGCGGGGGCCACGAAGGGCAGATAATGCGGGGCCACAGGAGGCAACGACGGGGCCACTGAGGGTAGCAACTGGGCCACGTAGGACAACGAGGAAGCCACAAAGGGCAACAGCAGGGCCACGAAGGGTATGCACATGGGGCCACGACGGGCGCGAACGAGCGGGGGCGACGAAGGTCATACGTATATTGGGCCGCGGGGGGCAAGGACGGGGCCACTGAGGGCAGCAACGGGGCCACGAAGGGCAACGAGGTGGCCACGAAGGGCGGCAGCGGGGCCACGAAGGGCATGCATATGTGGCCACGACGGGTGCGAACGAGCGGGGGGCACGAAGGGCATACATATATGGGGCCACGAATGGCAGCGAGGGGGCCACGAAGGGCTGCAACGGGGCCACGAATGGCAGCGAGGGGGCCACGAAGGGCTGCAAAGGGGCCACGAATGGCAGCGAGGGGGCCACGAGGGGCTGCAACGGGGCCACGAAGGGTAGCGAGGGGGTCACGAAGGGCTGCAACGGGGCCACGAAAGGCAGCGAAGGGGCCACGACGGAGCGCAACGGGGCCACGAAGGGCAGCGAGGGGGCCACGAGGAGCTGCAACGGAGCCATGAGGGACAGCGAGGGGCCCACGAAAGGCTGCAACGGGGCCATGAAACAAAGCGAGGGGGCCACGAAGGGCTGCAACGGGGCCACGAAGGGCAGCGAGGGGGCCACGAAAGGCTGCGAGGGGGCCACGAAGGGCAGCGAGGAGGCCACGAAGGGCTGCAACGGGGCCACGAAGGGCAGCAAGATCTCGATTCCTAAATAATCTGCGAGGGAGTCCTGAGCATGAGCGCGACTCCTGGGTGCCTGAGTGTCGGGAGCGCGGCGGAAAATTCCAACGCACGGGCGCTTTCTTGAGTAAGCTGCAAGCAAGTTTGTTTCCAGCGAGAGCGCAACTCCAGAGCGTCGAGAGAGCGATTCCGGAATAAATTGCGAGGAAGTCCCGGGCGAGAGCGCCATTCTTCAATACATTTGTGAGGAAGTATCAGGTGGGAGCCGTTGTTGTTGTAAACCGGGGGCCAGCGACACAAATTGAGCCGCAAGACTTCCCCTGATAAAAACAGGGTGCGAGCCCCGGGAGGGGCACTTCAATTGAAAAATGCAATGTGCACCGGGTGGGGGGGAAGAACAATAATTATTCTTCAGGAATGAAAATTCAACAACAATAACAACAGCAACAACAACAGCAACAACACCAACAACAACAACAATCATTGCAAGACTGTACGCCCTTATCTACTCGAGTGTCCAACAACACGTATTTCTCAAACCCTCGATACCCGCCCTCTTCGTCTTCGATCGTACCCCTTTTGGGGGGTATACCTTTCTTTCTTGCAGGCCGGGCCCTGGCAAGCGGGGGGGCGGCCGCGGACCGTCGACCAGACCCCAAGAGGGACGGACAGGGGACCGACCACGACGACGACGACGACGACGATGACGACGGCGACGTTGTCGACGACGACGGCGACGACGACGACGGCGACGACGACGACGACGACGAGCGAAAGCGAGAGCGAGAGAGAACGACAGCAGGGCCACGAAGGACACGAAGTAGGCCACGAAGGGCGACAGCGGGGACATATGGGGCCACCACGGGCGCGAACGAGCGGGGGCCACGAAGGGCATACATATATGGGACCACGAAGGGCAGCGAGGGGGCAACGAAGGGCTGCAACGGGGCCACGAAACAAAGCGAGGGGGCCACGAAGGGCTGCAACGGGGCCACGAAAGGCTGCAACG